ATCTGCTTAAAAATAACCAAAGGTCACTATGAAGAAAAGAATTAAACTGCCTTTGAAACATAAAGCTGCTGTAATAACATTTTTGGCAGAGCGCAATAAACTCAAATGTTTTAGGTTTAAGATGGCAAAACACAAAGGGGTGCAATTCATCACAGAAAAAGCTTAAAGCAAAGAAAAGGATTACATAGTAGTGGTCTCCTTATTTCATTTCATTTCGTTTTGTTTTTTAACCCTGTGGATGAAATCGCAACAGCAGACTTGTTTGAGCATTTAAGGCAATATTTAGCAAGTTTCACTGCAAGCAAATCCCCGGACAAAAATTGGAGCAGAGAAATACACACATATTAGGGGGCTGCTGCCGCCGCTCACTGAACTTGCCAACCCCTTGGCTAAAGCTCACCCCAACCCCTTTTACAGGAGGTTGGGGTGGGTTCTTCACAGAGCGCTTTGCCAAACTGCTCTCTGAAGCTGGGGCGAACGAAGGCTAATTGAAACCTGGGGCGGGGCAAACCGCCGGTTGCGCACACGTTGTACCACTACGTACGACACATGCATAGCGTCACTACGTAGGGCGCATGTGCAGCGTCGCTACGTACAGCGCATGCGTGCGACATCGCACATGCGTTGTACGTAGTGGTTTGCCGGCGCTGCCGCCCGGGCGCCATACGTATGGTGGTGGGAACCTCTGCTCGCAGCTGTAGCGGTAGCAGAGGGATCCCACTGCCGTCCGTCCGGCGCTCGGGCAGTGCCGGCGGCAAACCACTATGTGCAGCGCATGTACGGCACTGCTACATACAGCTCTTGCATGCAACACCGCGCATGCGTTGTACGTAGTGGTTTGCCGGTGGCGGCGCCCGAGCACCGTACGGATGGTGGTGGGATCCTCCACATGCAGTGGTGGCACGGTGGCTGCTTGCGCCGCAGCGGCCAGGGGTGGCGGGGCAAGCACTCCGCAGGGTGCCTTCTTGTCACCCCCCAGACATGGCACCCAGGGCACACCGCCCCCACACACCCCTTGCGACGCCACTGCCCTGAAGCACCTCCTACTCTCCTTTAAACTAGGGTTACCAGACGTCCCCGGATTTGCAAATCTGTCCCCGGACAAATTCCGTCCCCGGAATGTCCCCGGATTTGCAAATCTGTCACCGGGAAACATGGCAGCGGCAGCCTCAGCAGCCTGGAACCAGTCTGGTAGTGCAGTTGGCTCTAGCTGGCTTCAGGAGCTGCTCACTCCCATGGCACCCACCATTTTTCCTTGCCAGAAGTCCCCATACAGTGGTACCTCTGGTTACATACTTAATTTGTTCCGGAGGTCCGTTCTTAACCTGAAACTGTTCTTAACCTGAAGCACCACTTTAGCTAATGGGGCCTACCGCTGCTGCCGCGCAATTTCTGTTCTCATCCTGAAGCAAAGTTCTTACCCCGAGGTAATATTTCTGGGTTAGTGGAGTCTGTAACCTGAAGTGTATGTAACCCGAGGTACCACTGTATAATGTGTCTTGTGCACAACAGATCATATGGGGACTTCCAGTGAGGAAAAATGGTGGGCACCACGGCAGCGGGCAGCTCCAGAAGCCAGCCAGAGCCAACTGCGCTACCAGGTTGGCTCTGGCTGCTGACTGCCACTGCCACTGCAGAAGGGGAACTGGGGACGTCTGACGGTACAGATCTTCTGCCCCCCTCCCCCTTTGTTTTGACTGATGGGGGAGGCTCGGGAGTTGCGGGCGGCTGGCCGTTGCCCGATTTTTTAAAAACTCTGGGAATTTATGTTTCACAGGGTGCGAAAGAAGGGTTTTGCCCCTTTATACAATATGCATGTGTCCTTGTGCCCAGAGTCTTTTGCCTCACTGTCCCCACTACTACTCCCTGTTGCTATTCAGCTTTTTTTAAAAAAGTGTCTCCGGATTCATTGAAGAAAATCTAGTAACCAAACTTTAAATGGCTCCCTTTGCCTGCCAGCCCCCCGGCCCCCAAACTGTTGCTTCCTTCCCTGCCTTCACAAATATTGCTGCTTTGAGCTTCCTCCAAGGAAAGGTGGGGTATAAATTAAATAACTAATAGTCAAGGATTAGGAACTGTTCTTCTTCATTCTTTGAAACTCCCATCGATAAGGAGCTAGGTAAAAGGATAAGTCCAGTCAAAGGCGACTATGGGATTGCGGCGCTCATCTCACTATTTGTTTGTTTGTTTGTTTGTTTGTTTCAGGTTTACACCTTTTAACATTTCAAAACTTGACTTCCTTCGCCCCTTATTCTCCAGCTCTTTAAATGTATTTTTAATATTTTCTGCATATCCAGATTAACTCAATTTGTTCCTTTATTCATCTGCATTAAATATATACTCTTATGAAACTGCAGGTTGCTGCAATAATCCTGCCCATGTTCTTATCTGTTGACAATTTGTTTGTAAATATTCAATAAACCGTTCCCATTCTTTTATAAAAAGTTTGTTGTCTTGGTTTCTTATTTTCCCAGTAAGTTTCGCCATTTCTGCATATTCCATGAGTTTTTGTATCCATTCTTCTTTTGCTGGGACTTCCTTCTTCTTCCCATTTTTGGGGCAACATTCTTGTCGCTGTAGTAGCATACATGAATAAGTTTCTGTACAGTTTGGGTAGTTCTATTCCTGTAATTCCCATCTCAGTTTCCAGGCTGAGAGAGCCAGCGTTTGTCCACGGACAGCTTTCCGGGTCATGTGGCCAGCATGACGAAACCGCTTCTGGCACAATGGAACACCACAACGGAAACCAGAACGCACAGAAACACCATTTACCTTCCCACCACAAGAGTACCTATTTATCTACTTGCACTGGTGTGCTTTTGAACTGCTAGGTTGGCAGGAGCTGGGACAGAGTAACTGGAGCTCACTGCGCTGTGGGGATTCAAATCGCCGACCTTCCGATCAGCAAGCCCAAGAAGCTCCGTGGTTTAGACCACAACGCCACCCGCCAAAAGGAGAACAGTATGGCAAATGAGATGACCGCAGCCTGTTCCTGGACTTCATCACTGTCGCAAATTAATCCATTCTGGTGACTAGCAAGAAACATATCCTGCATTCCAGATTGCCGTCCCGTTATATATAGTTTGTGTAATAAAGAGAGAGAAAAGAGATCTAAATAAGTGGCTGTAAATTGGAGCACAGTTGAAAGTTAATGGGGCTGTTTCCAGGTGCGGGGGTGCCTCCATCAAAAAGCCATGCAAAGAAAAATCTCAGATTTAGCAGCGGTTTTGATGGAAACGCTTCCCACTCCTGGACCAAGGTATGACCTCTCTGCCTCTCAGCTGATGAACAGTGAGGTCACCCCTTATTCCAAGCAAAGCAGCAATTGGAAGCTCACTTTAAAATATCACCGGACACCAATACATTTGAGACTAAAGGCCTCATGAGCTTCATTGGGACCACTGGCAGGTCAGGTCTGGCCAGCTAGATGTTCCCTAGAGATGAGAAGAAAGAAACCTCTCTACACTCTTTCTTGGCAATATTCATTACTGCTTAACCATTAAAGCAGTGGGCATAAAACACTCGTTAGAAAAATACGGCTGGCGCTCATGATTTCGCTTACCTATGGAGGATGCCCCACTGAATTCAGTGGGCCTTGCTTCTGACTGTGTAGACACGGTTAGGATTGCAGCCTCATGATTCTTCAACACTAACTTCGATGGACTGGACATGTTGTGCGGATGCCTGATTATCGTCTTCCAAAGCAACTACAGTGGTACCTCAGGTTACATACGCTTCAGGTTACAGACTCCGCTAACCCAGAAATATTACCTCGGGTGAAGAACTTTGCTTCTGGATGAGAACAGAAATCATGCAGCAGTGGCGCGGTGGCAGCAGGAGGCCCCATTAGCTAAAGTGGTGCTTCAGGTTAAGAACAGTTTCAGGTTAAGAACGGATCTCCAGAACTGATTAAATACTTAACCCGAGGTACCACTGTACTCTATTCTGAACTTAAAAATGGAAAGCATAATGCTAGTGGTCAACAAAAGAGGTTTAAAGGCTATCTCAAGGCAAATCTTAAAAAATGTTGTATAAACACCAACAATTGGGAAACACTGGCCTGCGAGCGCTCCAATTGGAGAACAGCCTTTACCAAAGGTGTCATGGGCTTTGAAGAAGCTCAAACTCAGGATGCAAGGGAGAAACGTGCTAAGAGGAAGGCACACGTGGCAAATCCACACCGTGATCAACTGCCGCCCGGAAACCAATGTCCCCACTGTGGAAGGACGTGTGGATCCAGAATTGGCCTCCACATTCATTTACGGAAGGGACACAGGTGGCGTTGTGGGTTAAACCACAGAGCCTAGGACTTGCCGATCAGAAGGTCGGCGGTTCGAATCCCCGTGACGGGGTGAGCTCCCGCTGCTCGGTCCCTGCTCCTGCCAACCTAGCAGTTTGAAAGCATGTCAAAGTGCAAGTAGATAAATAGGTACCACTCCAGTGGGAAGGTAAATGGCATTTCCGTGCGCTGCTCTGGTTCGCCAGAAGCGGCTTAGTCATGTTGGCCACATGACTCGGAAGCTGTATGCCGGCTCCCTCGGCCAGTAAAGCGAGATGAGCGCCGCAACCTCTACCATTTCTGGGACTATGCTCTCCATATTTTCTGACGCAGTGCATTTTTCAGATGCGTTGCCACAAAAAAGGCTTGCTAACGGCACAAAGCTGTTACTGTGCTAAAACTAAGCAGGTCCCTGGCTAATCAGGGCCTGGAATCTGCCCAAGGAGCCCACTCTAAGCTGCTCCTGACTTCCCCGCAGACCAGGGCACAGGATAAATAAATAAAAACCCTTTGCATGAGAGATTAGACATGCTACTTTCTGGAAATGCCCCCACATGGCCGAACGTCTCTCCCAGTCGTAAAGGCGGTTCTGCAGCAGGCATATTTATTCCTCCCTCCCTTCCTTTTGCCAAAGGTTTTTTGGACGCTAGAAAAAGGACTCTGACGTCAATGTCAAAGTAAACCAAAGGAGTCTGGCTGCTGCGGCGGCATTGAGTTAGCACTCTGGAGTAACAGGGGACTGCTGCTGGGCTGACTCAGGGATCTGGAAGCAAGAGCGGAGCTTTCTCCATCAAGCTGAATAGACAGGTAAGGACTGTGATCTTCTCTGGATAGTATGTGGGGAGCTGGGTTTGCAAGAGGAGCAAAGAGGGAGAGATTAGTGGCTGCACCAGAAAACTTGTTTATTGAGTGTTTGTGCTGATTTGCTTGCTTTTGTGGTGGTTCCATTCTACTGAGCATTTGTTGTGATTTGTTCGTGGGCAGGTGGCAAGGGCGAGAGGCATTCACCCTGTGCTCATCCTGGTTTGCTAAACGGCAGAGTTCACTTCCACAAGAGGCAGCAATGGCCTTTGAATGAGGATGAGACAGAAAAACGGAGGATGAGGCTATCAAAGACTGCTAGGCCACTGTCGGAGGCAAGAAGCCCCTGAGCAGCAGTTGCTGGGAATCACAGGTGGGGAAGGTGCTGTGGTGCTATGTTTCTGCTTGCAGGGTTCCTTCGGGGGCTTCTGGTTGGCCGATATCAGAACAGAGCACTGGACTGGATGGGACCTTGGTCTGATCCCACCCCTCGGTCATCATCCTCTGCCTGGCTCTGTTTAGCAGCTTCGAAATGATGAAATGTCTCAACAGCAGTTGTTTTAAATTACTTTCTTTTGAGTGCTCAGGGGAAAAACCTGTCAAAATCTTTCTGCAATTTCTACTTTTAGTTAAGTATTTTTATTTAATTACTTGACGGGGGGGAGCTTCTCCCGCTGCTCCCGCCCAGCTACGCCCATGCTACCTTGGAAAGCAGTGGATTCCACCAGGAACAATGGAAGGAATTTAAAGATTACTTAGCTAAATATTGTAATATAAGACAAGTAGAAGCAACCTGAATTTATCAAATTGGCTTAGGAATAGAACATGATTAAATTGTAGAACATTTTGGGAGAAACTATGAAAAGAAGTAAAGAAAGGAATTTGAAAAAGTAAATTTTGTTAGAAAGAAGATATTGGAAAACTGTTACAAGGGGATACAATGGAATTCAGTTAGGGGGGATTTGAGGAAGTCATTTAACAACGAAAACTAAACTGGATTTTTAGAAGGATTAAGTGTTTATTTGTATGTTTTTTCTTTTTTCCTTTTTCCTTTTTTTCCTCTTTTGTATGTTATATTTGTTATAAACTTGGAAAACCAATAAAATTTTTGAAAGAAAAAAGAAGGAAAGCAGTGTATTCTCCTTCCTTGGAGATTTTTAAGCAAAGGTTCGATGGACATCTGTCAGGGATTCTTTAGCTGAGATCCCTGCACTGCAAGCGGGTTGGACTAGATGACCATTGGGACCCAATCCTACAACTGGTCACTCACGCACCTCACAGTTCCCAGCGCATTTCCCCATCAATTTCTAAACTGCTGAAAGTCAGTTTATTTTTTTAAAGGGTATGTGTTGCCCCAGGGTGACAGAGCGTGCCACAAACGTGGATTTCCTGGTGTGCATTTCATAGAATTGTAGAATTGCAAAGTCAGAAGGGACCATAAGGCTCGTCTTGCCCTTTGCAATGCAGGAATATTTTGCCCAACGTGGGATTCGAACTCACGATACCAAGATGAAGAGTCTCGTGCTCGACCAATTGAGCTTTCTGTGAAATATTGGCAGTCTGGAGGCCCTCATCCTCTGCTGTGTATTTTCATCATTTAAGGTACAAAGGACTAGTAGGAAGGTATCTGAATCACTAAACCACTGGTGTGTGAGACAGCAAAGCTGGGGAACATCCATTAAACTTGCTGTGTGCACCCTGAAGTGGAAAAGATTTACTCGAGCAGAAAGCTGTTGGAGATCAGATCACGAGAAAAGTGCAGTGAGGAGAACATCACTGTGTCTTGTGCCCTAATTCCTGAATCGATTCAGCTTAAGAACTGAGGTTGCTACTTGGGTCTCATAAGAAGACAGGGGTTTTTTTCAGTGAAAAGGAATTGTGAACGGATTGCAATTTTTATCATTGCCACTGTTACTGAAAGTAGAAGGACATAGAGTCTTGCAGAAGGTTAAAGGTAAATATATTGCAAAAAATAGATTGCGGTGTAAGCTTTCGCAGCCTACAAGATCGCACCAGATCCATGGAGTGTTATCCTGGGTTATGGGTTGTGGGGGTGTTAAAATGTGAATTACAATACATCGAGCGTTTCTGCACTTCTGGAACTCCCTGCCTATTGATATCAGGCACTGAGCTCATTTTGGCACCTATTCAAAATATTTTTGCTTAGATAAGCCTGCCCACAAACCTATATTAATCCTACAGCTCAGGACAGCAATACCTTAAGGACCACCTTTCTCCATATAAACCTACCTGGACCCTGAGACATTGTGGAAGTGGGGATTTTTGGGTTGTTTCTGCTTTTGTTTTTATTATGTATCTTGTTTTCTTTTATATTTGAGTTCTGTGTTGTTAGCCACCCAGAGATCTATGGGTACAGGACGTTATAAACATTTAATTAAATAATAATAATAATATATGACTCATGGACTGAGCCAAAACAAATTTAGGCTTACCAACACTAGGATGCCTTTGTCAACAGGAACTGTCTTGTGAATGACAATTGCTAAGTATGTACACATCCCTGTTTGTACTGTTTTGGATTTCATTTCGCTCTGACCTCACTTTTTACAACCGCTCCTCCCCCCCTCCGCCCAAAACCCATGTGTTTTACATTCTTATGACTCAGGATAACGCTCTGTGCGTCTGGTGGGACTGCAAAATGTGAATACTCATGCTATAATAAATAGTTTCCTCTTTAACATCCCAGAAAACATTTTCACATTCATTTGCTGCAAAAAAACCCTTAACACTCCTGTAAAAATTAGAAGATAGTTGGTGTTTGTTGACTAAAAGCATAGCTGTCAACTTTTCCCTTTTCTTGCAAGGAATCCTATTCAGAATAAGGGAATTTCTTTTTTAAAAAAGGGAAACGTTGACAGCTGTGACTAGAAGATTAAGCAGAATCTGGTTTATACACTCCAGATGTTACAACCAACACTTTGGACTGTGACTGAAGGCGTCTGAGGAAGTCTGAGTACTGTTTATGGCTTTTCTTTAAGTTCACTTATTTCATTATTCACCTATTTCTGTAGCACTATTCCTATGCAACAACAAGACAGCATTCAATAACAATTTGGCATAAACCAGCATTCACTAGGTCGCTGGCAAATAAGTTAAAAAGAAACCAGCTGCTGCTGGTGGTTGTGGTTGCTATCATCGTCATTGCATGCGACACATAAGATAAGTTATATAATTATAATTATTATTATTATTATTATTATTATTTATTTATTTATTTATTTATACCCCGTCCATCTGGCTGGGTTTCCCCAGCCACCCTGGGGGGTTTACAACACAATATTAAAATACAGTGGTGCCTCGCAAGACGAAATTAATCCGTTCCGCGAGTGTCTTCGTCTAGCGGTTTTTCCGTCTTGCGAAGCAACCCTATTAGCGGCTTAGCGGATTAGCGCTATTAGCGGTTTAGCAGCTATTAAAGGCTTAGCGGATTAGCGGATTAGCTGCTAAAAGGCTATTAGCGGCTTAGCAGCTTAGAAAAAGGGGGGGGAGCGAAAAAAAATCTCAAGACTCGCAAGACATTTTTGTCTTGCGAAGCAAGCCCATAGGGAAATTCGTCCTGCGAAGCAACTCAAAAACGGAAAACCCTTTCGTCTAGCGGGTTTTCCGTCTTGCGAGGCATTCGTCTTGCGGGGCACCACTGTACAATAATGCATCAAACATTAAAAGCTTCCCTAAACAGGGCTGCCTTCAGATGTCATCTAAAAGTCTGGGAGTTGTTGCTCTCTTTGACATCTGGTGGGAGGGCGTTCCACAGGGCAGGCGCCACCACCGAGAAGGCCCTCTTGCCTGGTTCCCTGTAACTTGGCTTCTCGCAGTGAGGGAACCGCCAGAAGGCCCTTGGTGCTGGACCTCAGTGTCCGGGTAGATCGATGGGGGTAGAGACACTCCTTCAGTTGCCATATTTCAATAAGTAAAAAACCAGGACACCCCAAAAGTTGGAAGTAGGAAGACCTGCAATTTTTCAGTTTACGTGCCAAAGATCCAGGACAAACCAGACGTCCCCCCGGACGTCACTTCCACCTTTGAAATCCCGGTAATGTCCAGGAATGGTAGCCCTAACAAAAAACCCATTCTGCATTTGTAAGAATTCAATCGTGTAGTGTAGCAGGACCTACCCTTTGGAACTCCCTGCCTATTGATATTCATCTATTTGTTGTTGTTGTTGTTTAGTCGTTTAGTCGTGTCCAACTCTTCATGACCCCATGGACCAGAGCACGCCAGGTACTCCTGTCTTCCACTGCCTCCCGCAGTTTGGTCAAACTCATGTTGGTCTCTTTGAGAACACTGTCCAACCATCTCGCCCTCTGTCATCCCCTTCTCCTTGTGCCCTCCATCTTTCCCATCATCAGGGTCTTTTCCAGGGAGTCTTCTCTTCTCACGAGGTGGCCAAAGTATTCGAGCCTCAGCTTCAGGATCTGTCCTTCCAGTGAGCACTCAGGGCTTATTTCCTTCAGAATGGATTGGTTTGATCTTCTTGCAGTCCATGGGACTCTCAAGAGTCTCCTCCAGCACCATAATTCAAAAGCATCCATTCTTCGGCGATCAGCCTTCTTGATGGTCCAGCTCTCACTTCCATACATCACTACTGGGAAAACCATAGCTTTAACTATACGGGCCTTTGTTGGCAAGGTGATGTCTCTGCTTTTTAAGATGCTGTCTAGGTTTGTCATTTGCTGCCTGCCAAACCTATATATCCAGACTTTGGGACCCTGCCCAGCCCACACATACCTCTGGCCCTGTGCTGCACTCCGCTCGAGTGATTTTTACCTAGCTGCAACATGCTTTGAATGCTGAAGAGGATATTATTATTATTATTATTATTATTATTATTATTATTATGTCTTTCTCCTGTCTGGCCTTGGTCATAGTAGGAAGACATTCAACCACACGTACTGAGTAAAACTCCCTCAGTACCACACAGCCAATCAGAGCACATGTTACCTCAGTGAGCATCATGGCACTCTGATGGGTCGTTAAGCAACACCTCCGCCACTCTCTCATTGGTGGACTAACTGTCAAGAGAATTAACCCTTTGGTTACTAACTGAATGGTCCTTGCTACTGTAATTCCAGCACACAAACTCTTGCTTGGCTGGATGGTGGTATGTCAAACTACACCCATTTTTGCCACACTCCCCACTGATAAGTGCCCCCAGAAAGGTTTCCCAATGGGAAATGTGGAAATGTGGCCCTCAGTGTGAAAAAGCTTCCCACAAACATCCGTCAACACAAGAGCTATTTTTCTGATAAACTTTACTAGGAAGATAGTGACAGTTCTGGCAAGAGTTTGTTTCCCAATTGCATCAAAGGCCTGGAAACGATGCCTTATGAGGAACGGCTAAGGGAGCTGGGCATGTTTAGCCTGGAGAAGAGGAGGTTAAGGGGTGATATGATAGCCATGTTCAAATATATAAAAGGATGTCACATAGAGGAGGGAGAAAGGTTGTTTTCTGCTGCTCCAGAGAAGCGGACACGGAGCAATGGATCCAAACTACAAGAAAGAAGATTCCACCTAAACATTAGGAAGAACTTCCTGACAGTAAGAGCTGTTTGACAGTGGAATTTGCTGGCAAGGAGTGTGGTGGAGTCTCCTTCTTTGGAGGTCTTTAAGCAGAGGCTTGACAACCATATGTCAGGAGTGCTCTGATGGTGTTTCCTGCTTGGCAGGGGGTTGGACTCGATGGCCCTTGTGGTCTCTTCCAACACTATGATTCTATGATTCTATGTGTGCTGGCTGGTTGTCTTAATGTTGCCTGTCCCCCCCCCCCCCGTCTTTACTGCTTTAATCTTCTTTTTCTGCAACCGAGGAGTGACTAGTAAGTTTTATAGATAAATAGAATAATCATATGAGAAATATGAGAGTGTGCCCTACTTATACACAGAGATCGTGGCTGGCAATTGTGCCTAAATATCTCCGGTTCACAAATGCACCTACATGGTGACTTGGGGTCGCAGTCCATGTAGACTCAGCATCTGAATGTGTGAACCAACTCTGTTGCAAAGCAGTTGGCTGAAGTGGAAGCCCTGGTAGCAAGGGTCAGGGATTATGAGAGGTTACTGGGTGGGTTTAGGTAATCTTTCATAATACAAATTTTGGCCCCTATGCGAGCCCAAAATTTGGCACCCCTAAATGGATCTTCTCCATTGTGGATCTTCTCAATTTTGTACCCCTTTGGCTCAGCCTCCTGTGTGGAGGAACCACCAAAACTGCGCTAAATCCAGCTCTGGAGATTATAATCCAGCAACATCTCAAGGGCAACAGGTTCTCTAGGCTTGGTGTGCGCTATCTAGGAAATAAGAATGGAATCTTATCCCAACACACAACAGTTTGCTCTGTATTTGGAGGTCTGGCCAGCCAGCGTTTTGTCCCATCTTCCTCTGAAAGTATTTCCATTCTCTTGAGAGTTGATGTGGCCAGCATGACTAAACTGCTTCTGGAGCAACGGGATACTGTGATGAGTCCCAGGGCGCAGGGAAACGCCATTTACCTTCCTGCCGCAGCAGCACCTATTTATTGACTTGCACTATGTGGGACACAGGTGGTGCTGTGGGTTAAACCACAGAGCCTAGGACTTGCTGATCAGAAAGTCAGCGGTTTGAATCCCCGTGACAGGGTGAGCTCCCATTGCTCGGTCCCAGCTCCTGCCAACCTAGCAGTTCGAAAGCACCTCAAAGTGCAAGTAGATAAATAGGTACCGCTCCGGCAGGAAGGTAAATGGCGTTTCCGTGCACTGCTCTGGTTCGCCAGAAGCGGCTTAGTCATGCTGGCCACATGACCCGGAAGCTGTACGCCGGCTCCCTCGGCCAGTAAAGCAAGATGAGCGCCGCAACTCCAGAGTCAGGCACGACTGGACCTAATGGTCAGGTGTCCCTTTACCTTTTATGTGTGCTTTCGAATTGCTAGGTTGGCAGGAGCTGGGACAGAGCAATGAAAGCTCACCCCCATCACAGGAATTCAAACCACCGACCTTCCAATTGGCAAGCCGAAGAGGCTTAGTGGTTTAGACTACAGCGACACCCGTGTCCATAGACCAGGTGGTCCTCAGTCTGGGAAAGGTACATTCTCTCTCTCTCTCTCTCTCTCTCTCTCTCTCTCACACACACACACACACACACACACACTGCCTTATGACATCTCCAAGACACTGCTGGATATGACTCTGTTTCAGTCAAGCAGGAGGAAATGTATTTTAAGCCCTATCAGTCATTTCTCTGGGAAGCTATTATTGCCGGCGACCATGTTCCAACAGCAGCTCGCTTCTGCCCCTCAAAGGCTCCTCCACGGTTCCCACCCGGCCCTGGGAGCTGTGGGCAGATCAGGAGTCTCTGTCTCCTCCCACATGCCTGGCATCTGTCAGGCAAGATAGCCTGGGAATCCTGCCTTCCTTTGGCAGAGCCTCAACAGCCAGCTTGAAGCCGCGCAGCTGTTCATCACCCGATGCACAAATCCTTTCTAAAGGACTTCAGGAGGACTACATGGGGGCAGTGGTGCTGTCTTCACCAGGCCAGGTGTGGCGATCACACAGGGTCCCCGGACGTTTAACAGTCTATTGATCCCTGTGCCACCACTCTGATCACTTCCCCGCTGCCACCAACCCGTTACTCTCTAATAAAACACTGAGTCCATCCAGTTGTTAAAAGTGAACCAAAAATGCAAGTTTATTTTACAAACATAGACAAGTTTATGGTTTCACAGATAATATTCCTGTCAGTTTCTTAACTATAGTTTCTTTACCAGCCTTTTGTTGTTTAGTCGTTTAGTTTTGTCCGACTCTCCGTGACCCCATGGACCAGAGCACGCCAGGCACTCCTGTCTTCCACTGCCTCCCGCAGTTTGGTCAAACTCATGCTGGGAGCTTCGAGAACACTGTCCAACCATCTCATCCTCTGTAGTCCCCTTCTCCTTGTGCCCTCCATCTTTCCCAACATCAGGGTCTTTTCCAGGGAGTCTTCTCTTCTCATGAAGTGGCCAAAGTATTGGAGCCTCAGCTTCAGGATCTGTCCTTCCAGTGAGCACTCAGGGCTGATTTCCTTAAGAATGGATAGGTTTGATCTTCTTGCAGTCCATGGGACTCTCAAGAGTCTCCTCCAGCACCAGAATTCAAAAGCATCCATTCTTCGGCAGTCAGCCTTCTTTATGATCCAGCTTTCACTTCCATACATCACTACAGTGGTACCGCAGGTTAAGAACCTTTATTCCATAATTTTATCCATGCAGCCAATTCAATGTTGTCATTTTCCCTACCTTGAATTGTGTGCAAGGCATTTTGAGGATAACATCACTTTCTCTGGATTCCAGAATTGAAGCATTTTGAGGATAACTTTCACTTTCTCACTTTCTCTGGATTCCAGAATTGAAGCAGGTCCTTCCGTCCGGAGCTGTGTTGTGTGAGTTTCTGCTGTTATAGCTTTGGGATGTGGGTGAGGTACCAGCATGACTAAGCCGCTTCTGGCGAACCAGAGCAGCGCACAGAAACGTCGTTTACCTTCCCGCTGGAGTGGTACCTATTGATCTACTTGCACTTTGATGTGCTTTCAAACTGCTAGGTTGGCAGGAACAGGGACCGAGCAACAGGAGCTCACCTCCTCATGGGGATTTGAACCGCCGACCTTCTGATCAGCAAGTCCTAGGCTCTGTGGTTTAACCCACAGCGCCACCCGCGTCCCTATTATTTAAGGATCTTTAAAAACCCTGCTCTTTACTGCTGAAGTGGAGCAAATGGCAATTCATGGATAACCTGAATTGCTGTTCCGATTCAGCATTAAAGAGCAGTTTTTCCAAGGAAAGGAAAGAAAAAACACTCAGGTGCAGAGCTTGAAAACATGGACCTGTGCTTAGAAAGTACAGGACAGAAAGTAAGTGTTGATGAGCCCATAGTTGAGAACAAAGTCTTCCTTTTTTGTATAAGCTTTCCAGGGGCAGACGGCTGGAGACAGGAAGAAGGACATTTCTTCTGTCCTCCGTTTGCACTGGGAAATCAAGTGAGGACAGCGAAGCGCCTGGGGGCTGTTAGCACAGCATTAGTTCCAGTAGCAGCAATTTGATAAATGGATTTCCATGCATCGGAATTGGTTGGGTAAACAGACTCCGTCCTTAGCTGCCTCTGGAGCTCATAGCAAGAGGGAGCCCTCGGTGACACCAATTAAGACGAACGAGAGCCCTTGGGTTTCCTTCCGTGAGGAGTGGACCACAACAACATCCCAGCCGGGCATATTTATGGCTCGTCGTAATGAAAAAGCAAGACAGAACTTGTGGGAATAAGTGACGCAACGCCACAGATGGGGGCTGCCCAACTTTGGACATGGCTGCAACAAACTGCTTCTGTAGGGTGTTCCACAGAACACTTTGCCATCCGGATCTCACAGAAGCTGAGAGTCAAGAGGTTGGTGGGCTGTTTTGAATCAGGCACAACATTGTCTTTTTTATATTGAGTCAGGCCTGTGGAACTCAGGGCTGTTGGTGACTCTCTGAGATCTGCCTTTCCGAGATCTTGGAAGAGAGTTTTTCTGGTTCCAGCCCTGTAAAATAGTGTTGCATGTCTGGGGGAATTCCATTGCTGAAGGAGCCAGGCAAGTTTCTGAGTGACTTAACGGGCCCTAACGGGTGGCGCTGTGGGTTAAACCACAGAGCCTAGGATTTTCCGATCAGAAGGTCGGCAGTTCGAATCCCCGTGATGGGGTGAGCTCCCGTTGCTCAGTCCCAGCTCCTGCCAACCTAGCAGTTCGAAAGCACATCAAGTGCAAGTAGATAAATAGGTACCGCTCCTGCGGGAAGGTAAACGGCGTTTCCGTGTGCTGCTTTGGTTCGCCAGAAGCGGCTTAGTCATGCTGGCCACATGACCCGGAAGCTGTACGCCAGCTCCCTCGGTCAATAAAGCGAGATGAGCGCCGCAACCCCAGAGTCGGCCACGACTGTACCTAATGGTCAGGGGTCCCTTTACCCTTTACCTTTAAGTATGTTAAAAAGCAGAGACATCACCATGCCGACAAAGGTCCGTATAGTTAAAGCTAAGAATCCACTGGGAGAGATCATCAGAGGATTTGGGGGAGGTGCTGATGAAGTCTAGCTGTTTCCCCTTTCCATCAAAAGCAGGTGGAGCAGAAAGGGAATAATGGACCAGAAAGGGAATAAACTGAAGCTCCTTTCCTACAATACAGAGATGCTTACAGCAGCTGTTTCATTGGCTGCAGAGGTAGTAATTATCTGTCCTGGAAAGGGGTGCATAAGGTCATGGACTGGTTGGATGCAGAGGAAAGTTGGGAGGAACCAGCTGGGGAACCCCAAGGGAAGAAGGTTCAGAGCCTGGGGAGTGGTGGTGGGGTGACAATGAGTGGGCAAAGGGAGAAGACAGGGAGAAGGTGTCGGAAGTTGAAGGGGCAACAGGGTTTAGTGAGCAGGGAGAGTCTGTGGCAGAGAGAAGTCAAGAATGGGAGGCAGAAGCTGAAGCAGGCGAGGGAGAGGAGGGAAGTGAAGACGCAGAAATGAATTAGTCTGTTGAAGAGTCATGGGTGTCTCCCCCTCCTCCCGTACCCACCTTGTCTCCTGGCACCAGAAGAGGCCTGAAAAGGGTGCAGGAGAGATGGCTGCCTGCCGGCGCAGTCTATGATTGCCCACTGGGAATGAGCTGCTGTGCTCATTAGGAATGACACTCAACCAAGTCTGTGAAGATCGTGTTTGGGTTAATAGTCAATGTCAACTTTGGACTGTGTTATTACTGACCAGTACAGTCACATCACGGGACGGTGGTGGCGCTATGGGTTAAACCACAGAGCCTAGGACTTGCCAATCAGAAGGTCAGCGGTTTGAATCCCCGCGACGGGGTGAGCTCCCATTGCTCGGTCCCTGCTCCTGCCAACCTAGCAGTTCGAAAGCACGCCAGTGCAAGTAGATAAATAGGTACCGCTCTGGCGGGAAGGTAAACAGTGTTTCCATGCACTACAGTGGTACCTCAGGTTACATTCATTTCAGGTTACATACGCTTCAGGTTACAGGCTCTGCTAACCCAGAAATAGTACCTCGGGTTAAGAACTTTGCTTCAGGATGAGAACAGAAATTGTGCTCCGGCAGCACGGCAGCAGCAGGAGGCCCCATTAGCTAAAGTGGTGCTTCAGGTTAAGAACTGTTTCAGGTTAAGAGTGGACCTCTGGAATGAATTAAGTACTTAACCTGAGGTACCACTGTACTCTGGTTTGCCAGAAGCAGCTTACTCATGCTGGCCACATGACCCGGAAGGTGTATGCCGGCTCCCTCGGCCAATAAAGCGAGATGAGCGCCGCAACTCCAGAGTTGGTCACGACTGGACCTAATGGTCAGGGGTCCCTTTACCTTTTACAGTCGCACCACACAGACACACACACAGAGAAAGAGAGAGAGAGAGAGAGAGAGAGAGAGAGAGAGAGAGAGAGACTGACTGTTTTAGAGTGCTTGTGAATGCACAGACAGTACTGTGACTAAAAACTCTTTCTTCCAATGCTGGGTATCCCAGCAACGCCCCTTCCTGGGAAACAAAAACCACGCTATTGTTTTGCATGTCCTGCTAACTTCTTGTCTTGACTTCTGTGATGTGATCTATATGAGATTGCCCTTGGAGACAGTTCAGGAACTTTGGCAACACCCATTTAAAGGACATGGCTTCCCTCAAAACACCCTGGGAGCTTTAGTTTGTTAAGGGTGCTGGGAACTGTAGCTGTGTGAAGGATAAATTGCATCTCCTAGGATTATTTGGGGGAAGCCAGGACTGTAAAAACAATGCAAGGTGGTGATGTGACTTGCAGCAATTTGACAAAATGGCTCTCATGCTGAGCTGAGCACACATGACACCAGTTTTTAAAGAATCCCACTGGTTAGCATTTAGTTTCCAGGCTGGACTCAAAGTGTTTGCTTTAAAAAAGAAAGAGGTGATGGATTCAGGATAGTTGAGAGAACATATTCCCCCAAATACCCTCTGCAGTGAGAGCTGCTTTTTTATATGCTGTGATCTTTTTATGTGAACCGCCCTGAGACCTCCAGGTATAGGGCGGTTTATAAATAAAAATAAATATAATAACACCATCTGAGATGAGATTCACTTCAGTTCTTCCAGAACAGAAGCCTTTTTAGTGGTGGCCCCGTTGGTCTCCCAGCCCTGTCTCACTCGCCCATTCAGAAAAACCAGAAGCACATTCTTCTTTTCCAGTCGCCTTTGTGTTGCTGGAATCTAGATTTTAAGCCTTGCCTTCCTTTTTATATTGTGTGTGTGTGTGGATTCTAGATTAATGTTTATTGGGTTTTAGCTTAGTATCTCTCTGTCTCTCTAAGCCACCTTGAGCATATTCGCTCACAAGCAAAGGGACACAGGGGGTTCCTCTCCCCCACATCTTAGCCCGAAATAAATAAATAAATAAATAGAGCCACCCCGCAAGGCTTAAATACTCAGCAAGTCCCATGCCACTTCATAAATTTCCAAGAGATTTGAGGCAGCGAGCCAGGAGCTTGCAAAGCAGCTTGGACTACAGACAGAAGACAAGGAGTTTCATTTTTTCCCCTCTTTCTCTTTTCAGTTTCCAGTGCCTGTTCCGCACTCCGCTGCCTGTCTTTGCGTCCAACGCTATATTTAGAAGGAGGAGGGAGAAAGAAAGAAAGAAAGAAAGAAAGAAAGAAAGAAAGAAAGAAAGAAATTTTCTTCTTCTGGAGGCATTACTTTCCATTCGGAATATCTCCCAAGCATCTTGAATGAAAAGCACCAATTCCATAGGTAAGAATTTATTCTTGTTTTTACTGTCTCTGCTTCTCCGCAGCCCAGACTGCATGGACACTGGACTTTTAAAGCACACATCCCCTCACCCCAAAGAACCCTGGTAGCTGTAGTTAGTGCTGAGAACTGCAGCTTTGTGGGGGTGAACTACAGTTCCCAGAATCCTTTGGTTGGGGGAAAGAATGTCCTCATCTGACCCTGGTCAGGGACCTCTACTATCTATCACTCTTGCTTTCTGTTTCCCATCTAAGAAATGACTTCTGGTTTTAATTTGACATTTCCCCCACCGAAAAGGAAAATATACAATAGATATATAATACTGCAAATGAACGTCACCAGTGTTTGGTTACTAGCTGAACCCAGCTTCCCTTTGAAATCCACAATTCTCCAAATTTCCCAACGCAGTTCCCCAACTCCAAAATGTGTATAACAGGGTATATGCAGAAAAAATGTGTTATGTTAGCAATAGTAATATGCAAAAAATGTATTATATTAGTGAAAGCCACATGCAGAAAGGTGTTTCACGATGTGCAGATCAGGTAAACCAAATTTCTTCCCCATCTCTAGCTGAAGAGAGGTTCTGCAAGTCACAGCAGACTAGTGGGGGCTGATGGTTTGATTTTATCCACAGTAGCCTATGTGTGTTGAATCCCTTCTAGAATCCCATGTGAAGCTCCCAGGGGCTCCACAAACCTCTCACCTTGACAAGAAGCATCATCATAACACAGCCTGTGGACAAGACCCTTTTTACTTTTAAACCCTGGTCCCCATGCCAGCTGCTCCCCTTCAGTATCCCTTAGCAAAGCTTTCTCTAGGGAGCCAACCAGAATCCAGAAGTAAGTCTTTGTGCAGATCCTCCATCCACGAGCCAGTCAGGGACCCAATCAGATGGGTCATGCAAGGAAGATGGTTTAGAGTTGCAAATTAGACAGCCACTTCCAGAACAGCCTTGCACCTGCATGTGGAGGAGAACATGCATATTATTATTATTATTATTATTATTATTATTATTATTACCCCACCCATTTGGCTGGGTTTCCCCAACCACTCTGGGCAGCTTCCAGAAGAATATAAAAACATAATAAAATGTCAAACGTAAAAGAATTCCTAATACTGGACTACCTTCAAATATCTTCTAAAACGTGTGTACAGTGGTACCTCAGGTTAAGAACTTACCGTAATTCGTTCTGGAGGTCCGTTCTTAGCCTGAAACTGTTCTTAACCTGAAGCACCACTTTAGCTAATGGGACCTCCTGCTGCCGCCACACTGCCTCATGATTTCTGTTCTCATCCTGAAGCAAAGTTCTTAACCCGAGGTACTATTTCTGGGTTAGCGTAGTCTGTAACCTGAAGTGTCTGTAACCTGAAGCGTATGTAACCCGAGGTACCACTGTAGTTCTTTATCTCCTTGACACCTGATGGGAGGGCTCTACCACCAAGAAGGCCCTTTGCCTGGTTCCCTTTAGCTTCACTTCTAGCAGTGAGGGAACCACCAGAAGACCCTCAGAGCTGGACCTCAGTGTCCGGGCAGAACGATGGGGGTGGAGACGCTCCTTCAGGTCTACTGAACTGAGGCCGTTCAGGGCTTTAAAGGTCAGCACCAACACTTTGAATTGTGCGTACAGGGAGTCAGTGAAGATCCTTTAGAACCAGTGTGATATGATCCACAGTCACCAGTCTTGCTGCCGCATTCTGGATTAGTTGTAGTTTCCAAGTCACCTTCCAAGGTCCCCTCCCCATTGTACACAAACACATGCTGTTGGCTCCTCACCTGTGCACAACCCTATCCAGCCATGAATCTCGTTGAAGGACCATCAGGTAGTCCAACTTAGCAACTAGAAGGGCAGTTGTGATGATTTAGTGGGGGAAATCCAAGGATGAAATTGATGGACTATGCAGAGTTAGATAAATTAACAGGAAGGATTCAAAACCTGCGGGACCAGAGATTCTCAGAAGACTGGAGTAAATGTACGAACTATTTGAAAAGCAATTGTGATGAACAGATTATGCTAGTAGGATTGCAAGAAGCTTTGTAAGGTGAACTATTTGAAATATTGCAAGAAAGACTATGAGGAGAATTATTAGTTAAAGATAATTAAATGTAATATAGAAATTAAGAAATGCATAATTAGTGATAGAGAACCGAAAATCATCAGAGGTGTTGACGGAAGTCTAAAATATTGTATAAGATGAGAAGTTAAGTTGTATGACTGTTGGAATTGATGTGTGTGTGTGTGTGTGTGTGTGTGTGTGTACATATATATATATAAGATTTAGTGGGGGGAATCCATGCCTACGTCCTGAGGTTCTTTGAAGGCTATGAATGTCAATGGAATAATAATATTAGTAATACAGGAAGGTGCCAGCTGTCCAAATCCATGGCATTTCCTGGGAGTTTGGCTTCTGTTGCTGCGGCTGCTGTAAGAGAGGAGGAAGAGGGGTACAGAAGCCGGACTAGTCTGGAATCCTCCCCCTGCCTCCAAATACCTGTACTTGGGTGTGTTTGAGATCTTCCATCTTTGGCCTTTGGGGTTGTGTTTTTGCCCTCAAGTGCCCGGCAATGGGTTTTTAGCACATGCCTTGTTGGGACCTTTCCTGGGCACCTGGTGTGCAGGTGCTAGGTGAGGCAGATCTTGGTCCTAGACAAACAGACAGACTGTCAAGGGCATGATCCGCTGCAGGCATTCGGTTTGAAGGGTCACACCATTAATGCTTGTTGTTGTTGTTGTTTAGTCGTGTCCGACTCTTCGTGACCCCATGGACCAGAGCACGCCAGGCACTCTTGCTTCCACTGCGTCCCGCAGTTTGGTCAAACTCATGCTGGTAGCTTCGAGGACACTGTCCAACCATCTCGTCCTCTGTCGTCCCCTTCTCCTTTCCCAACACCAGAGTCTTTTCCAGGGAGTCTTCTCTTCTCATGAGGTGGCCAAAGTACTGGAGCCTCAGTTTCACGATCTGTCCTTCCAGTGAGCACTCGGGGCTGATTTCCTTCAGAATGGATCGGTTGGATCTTCTTGCAGTCCATGGGATTCTCAAGAGTCTCCTCCAGCACCATAATTCAAAAGCACCAGTTCCTTAGTGATCAGCCTTCTTTATGGTCCAGCTCTCACTTCCATACATCACTACTGGGAAAACTATAGCTTTAACTATACTATGCTAGCCTGCTCTAAATCTTTCCATCTTTGCCCCCCAGGCAATCAGCTGTGGGTACTTCAGAAACTGCTCAAGCTCAGAGGAACCTGTGGGTGCTGATGTTTGTGTTGTTGTTTCTTAACACAGCAGCCTTGTATCTTTAAGTCAGCAGCCTTGCAGCAACTGCAAAGTGTCCTCTCAAAGCTCAGCCGAGAGGGAGAGAGTGCGTGTGGTGTCTGTAAATCTTCCCCAGTGTCATTTCACCCTTATTAGGCAGTTAACAGTTTTATATAAATAGTACATCTGTCCGGGGATTAGCGCGGCAAGAGGATGTTTACAGTGTGTGTATTTGCCACTGTGTCCTTAGAATAAACACCTTTCATTGCACTCAAGGTGACCAGATGTAGTTTGGTGTGAGGGAGGGGACTACCCCCTCCCCCCGCTCAAAGCTGGATTCGGGTAACTCGTCCATATGGCAACAAGCCACGCTCCCCGTTGAATGCCGTGCTACAAAACTGGGAGCGCGGGAATTGTTTAAGCATCGCATCGTCTTCCAAAGGGAAGACAGAGGAGGATCAGCAGCTCTTAACTGGGAGATGGAATCTCTTGGTCAAGAGGCCGGGATTCCCTGCACCCAAATTTCTGGGAGAGATGGCCTTCATGCCCTGATGATGGGGATGCCCTGTTGGTGGTTGAAAGACAGTGCTGTATTTATTCTGATGCAAGAGTGAGATGCAGGAGAGGGGGAAAGGAGCCATCTCTTTACAGTTCATGGGTAGGCAAACTAAGGCCCGGGGGCCGGATGCGGCCCAATCGCCTTCTAAATGCAGCCTGCGGATGGTCCGGGAATCAGCGTGTTTTTACATGAGTAGAATGTGTGCTTTTATATAAAATGCATCTTTGGGTTATTTGTGGGGCATAGGAATTTGTTCATTCCTTCAAAATATAGTCCACACACCCCCAAGGTCTGAGGGACAGTGGACCGGCCCCCTGCTGAAAAAAATCGCTGACCCCTGGCGTAGTTAAACTACAGAATTTGGTACCAAAGGATGCAGCACCGAGAACCAGAGTGGTGTACAGTGGTACCTCGGGTTAAGTACTTAATTCATTCCGGAGGTCAGTTCTTAACCTGAAACTGTATTTAACCTGGAAGCACCACTTTAGCTAATGGGGCCTCCTGCTGCCGCTGCGCTGCCGGAGCAAGATTTCTGTTCTCATCCTGAAGCAAAGTTCTTAACCTGAGGTAATATTTCTGGGTTAGTGGAGTCTGTAACCTGAAGCATATGTAACCCGAGGTACCACTATAGTTGTTAAGAGTGGTTAAGAGTGGTAGACTCATAATCTGGTGAACCGGGTTCGCTTCCCCACTCCTCCACATGCAGCTGCTGGGTGACCTTGGGCTAGTAGCCCATCTGGTCCAGCAGCCTGTTCTCACCATGGCCAACCAGATGCCTGTGAGAAACCATCAAGCTGGATTCAAGCACAAGAGCATTCTCCTCTTTTGTGGTTTCCAGAAACTGGTACCCAGAAGCAGAGCAGAGCCATCGCGGCCTGTAGGCATCAGTTGCCCTCCCCTCCTCCATGAATTTGTCCAATCCTCTTTTTAAAGCCATCCAAACTGGTCACCATCACTGCCTCTTGGGGGAGTTCCATAGTTGCTGCACTGCGGGGAAACCAGTTCCTTTTATGTGTGTTCTGAATCTTTCAACAACAAAGGGCACTGGGTGTGTGGCAGGAATTTATGTATAGGCTGGGGGGGGGGTTGCCCCTCCAGCAGATATCATGCACATGCAGCCCACTACCAAAATCAGCACAATCACTTTTGTGACTTTTGTGATTTGTCCCCACAAAACACTTCATCACAGTTTCTTCTTATCTATTCAAAGGGCCTTTGCTGCACGATACCAAATGTAATAATTCACTGATAAATGTATCTATGCACTGGCTCACAGGGAAAACTTCAGAAATTCATATAGACATGTGAGCTCAGTTACTCAGCAGCCCCTCTGCCTGAGTGATAATTCCTGGCATCCTGACACCTGAGTGCCAGACAGGTAGCCATTCCAGAAATAACAAACCCAGATGAAGACAGAAGGGTGTGATTAACTTGGGTGGGAAACAGGGAAATGTAAATATCTCTTTGGTTACACTTGATGGATGTTTGGTGGAGGGCAAGGGGAACCATGGGGCAGGGTCCAGGATGCTCAGATTACTGCCCCCAGACCTCCCCTTTCATGATGTAACCATGATGTATGAATGATGTAGTTTGGGGGGGTGTAACAAGGGGATTAGCAGCTAATAAAAGTTTGGGGGCTGTTTTGTTCGGGGCTTCCATCTTGTTCCACCTTGTGGCAGGTGGGAGTCCTGTCGCGACAGTCTTCAATAAAGACCAAGCCTACTGGCTGCTGTTTTGCTCTGGTATTCCTGGCTGGTGTCCTTGGTGGTGTTTTTTGTCCAGGGGAGCCATCAGATTTCTCCATTAACAGGTGACCTTGGATCCATCACAGCCTCTCAGTCTGTCATACCTCGCAGGGTTGTTGGGAGGATAAAATGGAGGAAAGCCATGCCAGTTTTCCTGAGCTTCTTGCAGGGAAGGTGGGATGGGAATGCAGCAAAATAAAAGAATCCATCGACAAATGGTGCCAATAGCAGGAATTATTATTATTATTATTATTATTATTATTATTATTATTATTTATTATTTATACCCCACCCATCTGGCTGGGTTTCTCCGGCCACTCTGGGCAGCTTCCAACAGAATATTAAAATGCAATAACCTATTAAACATTAAAAGCTTCCCTGAACAGGGCTGCCTTCAAATGTCTTCTAAAAGTCTGGTAGTTGTTGTTCTCTTTGACATCTGGTGGGAGGGCGTTCCACAGGGCGGGTGCCACTACCGAGAAGGTCCCCTGCCTGGTTCCCTGTAACCTCACTTCTCGCAATGAGGGAACTGCCAGAAGGCCCGTGGCGCTGGACCTCAGTGTCCGGGCAGAACGATGGGGGTGGAGACGCTCCTTCAGGTCTACTGGACCGAGGCCATTTAGGGCTTTAAAGGTCAACACCAACACTTTGAATTGTGCTGGGAAACGTACTGGGAGCCAATGTAAGTCTTTCAAGAAAGAGATCTGGGTTACTATTGGCTAATGGTCAACCTCTCTTTGGGGGGGCAAGGTGTTCCAGTAGGTGGTGGCCGTGAGGTTCCAAGTGTTTTTGCGTAAAATGGATGATCTGGACCCATTCTTGTCATAGAACACGAGAACAACCTGCTGGATCAGATCAATGGCCCACCTAGTCCAGTGGCCAACCAGATGCCTGCAGAAATCCAACAAGCAGGATTCATGCACAAGGGCCATCAATAGCTTTCTCCTGTATGAATTTCTCCAATCCTCTTTGGAAGCCATCCAAGTTGGTGACCATCACTGGTGCCTGGCCTGGTTTGGAGACTGAAATCAATAGTACTGTGCTGGGAAGAGATATGTGTCTCCTCCCACTCTGTGTACTATGCTCCCTTTTAAGATCCTTCCCTGCTCCCCCAGCCCCACCCATGTATACCTCTACTTTGGGAAGAAAAATCAAGATTTGTAGCTCAATGTGACATATTTAGAGGCCGTCTTGTTTTGGCCCTGAGCTGCTGTCTGACTTTTCCTCCCAAAGCTTGTGATGGGCTTGTGTGTGGGAGCTGAGGGGATGTGTATACACAATATAATTGTCCCAGCCTCCCCAATAAAATGTTTTTTACGAGGCTTTAAGTGTGTGTGCCGATAAATATAGAGATGAGTGAGGAACCAATTCCACTCAGCCCCGATGCAGTGTCTCTTTTAAGAGAGCTCTTCAAATCAAGGGAATATTTTTAGCCGCTGTGACTTCAGCAGGGAAAGTACCCTGAGAAGACAAAGCTTGGGAGATAAAAACAACAACAACAACCCTAAATGCGTAACCCAACAAGAAGGACTTAGCCACACTCCCTGCTCTTTCCAGGGAGAGCTCCCCACTTTAATGTTCCATGTCTGAGTATGTGGGTTGTTTGGATCAGAGCTTTTCCCGCAAAAAGCCACTCTCTGAAGCTGAATTGGATCAAATTTCCATTCCGGTTTCCCAACAGATTTGTGTTTGCTCCAATTGAGCTTTAAAGAGTGGGTTTTTGCGGGGTAAGTTCTGGAGCAAGTTCTGTGATATTTTGATTGATGGATTGAATCATACAGTTGTAGAGTTGGAAGGGACCCCCAGGCATAGCTGTCAACTTTTCCCTTTTCTTGCGAGGAATCCTATTCGGAATAAGGGAATTTCCCTTAAAAATGGGAAAAGTTGACAGCTATGCCCCCAGGATCATCTAGTCCATCCCCCTGCAATGCAGGAATCTCGACTAAGGCATCCATGTCAGATGGCCATCTAACCTCTGCTTAAAAACCTCCAAGGAAGAGAGTCCATAACCTCCCAAGGGAGTCTGCTCCACTGTCAAACAGTTTTTACTGCCAGAAATCTCTTCCGTATCTAGTCAAAATCTCCTCTCTTGTCCTCGGTCCTGTATACCTGAAGGAGCATCTCCACCCCCATCGTTCAGCCCGGACACTGAGATCCAGCGCCAAGGGCCTTCTGGCAGTTCTCTCATTGCGAGAAGTAAGGTTACAGGGAACCAGGCAGAGGGCCTGCTCAGTAGTGGCGCCTGCCTGTGGAACGCCCTCCCCGCAGATGTCAAGGCAATAAACAACTATTTTACTTTTAAAAGACAACTGAAGACAGCCCTCTTTAGGGAAGTTTTTAATGTCTAATGCTGTATTGTTTTAAATATTCAGTTGGAAGCCGCCCAGAGTGGCTGGGGAAACCCAGCCAGATGGACGGGGTATAAATAATAAATAATAATTATTATTATTATTATTATTATTATTATTATTATCATTATCTCTTGTCACTTGAAGCCATTGGTTCTCAGGTCCTACCCTTCAGAGCAGGAGAAAACAAGATTGCTCCATCTTTCATGGGGCAGCCCTTGAGATATTTGAAGATGGTCATCATATCTCCTCTCAGTCTCCTCTTTTCCAGGCTAAACATACTCAGCTCCTTCAACTGTTCCTCATAAGGCTTGGTTTCCAGACCCTTGATCATCTTGGTTGCCCTCCTCTGCACACCTTCCAGCTTGTCAACATCCTTATTAGATTGCGGTGTCCAGAATTGGACACAGTATTCCAGGTGTGGTCTGACTAAAGCAGAATAGAGTGGCACTATCACTTCCCTTCAACTGATTAAAAATATTTAAAAAAATAGTCTAGTAGCACCTTAAAGACCAACTAAGTTTGTTGGGCTTTTATGTGCATGCACAGTTCTTCAGATACACTGAAACAGAAGTCACCAGACCCTTATATATAGTGGGAGGGTGGGGTGTTTCTCAGAAGGGTAATAGGAGATGGGTGATTGGCTCAATGGGTATGCTAAACCTGTTGACGACTGATAATGACTGCAATTAGTCCTACAGGAAAAAGGAAGGGATAGTATGCAGGTGATCAAAAATAGCTTTAGCATATGTAATGAGACAAGAATCCAATATCTCTATTCAGACCAGGTCTCTCCATAGTTTTCAGTTTGGTAATAAGTTGTACTGGACACTAGACGTCTGTTGTTGGTTGATTTCATAAAATGTGACACCACTTGACTTTAAAAAGGGGGGGGGGGACAACAACCTGCAAAGCGGTTTATTAAAAAGATAAAACAATGCTATTATCGATAAGAAAATTTAGCAAGAATAACGCAACACAAGGCTTTCAAAAAGTTAAACTAACAATAGACGAGAAACAGATGAAAACTCACACCAGCTTTCTAAACATCTAGGTAGGCTTGTCTAAACAAAAACATTTTAAAGGTAAAGGGGACCCCTGACCATTAGGTCCAGTCATGGCCAACTCTGGGGTTGCGGCGCTCATCTCGCTTTATTGGCCGAGGGAGCCGACATACAGCTTCCGGGTCATGTGGCCAGCATGACTAACTAAGCCACTTCTGGCAAACCAGAGCAGCGCACGGAAACGCCGTTTACCTTCCCATCGGAGCGGTACCTATTTATCTACTTGCACATTTACGTGATTTCGAACTGCTAGGTTGGTAGGAGCTGGGACCGAGCAACGGGAGCTCACCCCATCGCGGGGATTCGAACCGCCGACCTTCTGATCAGCAAGTCCTAGGCTCTGTGGTTTAACTCACAGCGCCAGCGCAAAAGAGGGGACAATGAAGGCGTCTTCCTGATTTTAATAAGCAAGGAGTTCCAAAGTGTCCTGTTGGTGCACATGGTGCTCAGCCAAAAGGGTGCAAAATAATAATAATATTTTTTTTAAAAAACCTACTGAGAAGATCAATAAAAAAGCAACTGTACCAAAAGGAATTGTGGTGAAAATAAGAAATATTTTTTGGGGGGGCACCAAATTTTGTCCTTGCGGGGGGTGCCACATTACCAAAAGCAGCCCCTGCCTTCAGGGTGGTTGCAGCTCCCCTTGCTGCCCTGCCTGGCTCTGCGTCCTTTTTCCCAGTTCCATGCAGAGACTCTCTCTTCTGCTCTTCACAGCAGCCTCTTCTTCCTGCCTCTCAGCCTTCATCAGGGCACTGGAGGAGCCCTCTCTGAAGGCATAGCCAGCCCTTCTCACTTTCCACAAAAGTAAAATACCATATTTGGCCAATCTGAGCTGGAGCAGAGCAAGAACTTGCCAAGAGACAAAGCGAACCATTTGAAAGAAAGAAAGAAAGTTTTAACCCTTCATTTATAAATAAAATGATAAATCACTGGGAGAAAGTTTAAACACAGAGGTTTTGGAGAATTAAACAGGGTTGGGGGAAAAATTTTGCCCAGCAGCAGGAGCAAGGAAGAAGCAATAATAGTAATAACTTTGATTCAAGTCTAGGAGATGCAGGAAGCCAGAAACGTTAATGCAGATGGTTTGTTTAAATTGCGCTCTTTTGAGTTTTCATGCCAGGAAAATGCATCTTTGTATCTCGCCTTCTTTCTCAGGAATGTAGGAAGATACTGAGGCCGTGTTCCCACCATACATTGAATTCGCTCTGATACCTTTTTAAGCAGTCATGGCTTCTCCTAAAGAATTCTGGGAGCTGCAGTTTGCTAAAGGAGGTGGGAGTTGTTTGAAAACCACTGTGCCCTATGTCATTCTCAGAGTTGTCTTACAAGCAATCCATCTAGGCCAGTGTTGTCCAATAGGCAGCTGGAGATTTCAGGCAGATGTTTGCTCCCTAAGGTCCTTGTAGCTGGAGAGGCCAGGAGCTGAGCACCTCCACATCTTCACAGTCTCTGGGTTAGGCACGTACCCTCCAACACAACTCAGACCAATCAATCAATCAATCAATCAATTTTTATTTATACCCCACCCTTCTGGGTTTAAAAACCGGGCTCAGGGCGGCACCTCAAATATAAAACATTGATTAAAATGCAAATTGAAAACAGCATAAAATACAACATAAAATGCAGCGTCAATATCAATAAAACTCAAAAATTCAGGGGTCATTTGGGGGAAGGAAGGAAGGAAGGAAGGAAGGACCCAGTCAGTAGACATAAAGTGATCACCAAGTTGGTCCTACTAGGGCCAGCAAGGAGGCCAGGGAATAATTTAAATATGGGGTCCCAGAGAGGGTTTCTTCATAGAAGAGTAAAGGGGGAAAGGGAATAGAGGATCAAGCTAATTCAAATTGAAGGCCAGGCAGAATAGCTCTGTCTTACAGGCCCTGCGGAAGGAGATCAAGTCCTCCAGGGCCCTAGTCTTGTGGGACAGAGCATTCCACCAGGTCGGAGCCATCACTGAAAAAGCCCTGGCCCTGGTGGAGGATAGTCTGGCTTACTTAGGGCCCGGGACCTTTAAGCTATTATTATTCATGGACCTTAGGGTCCTCTGTGGGACATACCAGGAGAGACGGTCCTGTAGATACGAGGGTCCTAGGCCGCATAGGACTTTAAAGGTCAAAACCAGCACCTTAAACCTGACCCTATACTCCACCGTGAGCCAGTGCAGCTGGTAGAGCACTGGGTGAATATGCTCCCATGGCAGAGACCCCGTGAGGAGCCTCGCTGCAGCATTCTGCACCCACTGGAGTTTCTGGGACAGTTTCAAGGGCAGCCCCGCATAGAGCGAGTTACAGTAGTCAAGCCTGGAGGTGACCGCCGCATGGATCACTGTGGCCAGGTTGGGGCGGGAAAGGTAAATAGGGACATTTCTCACTGTCCCCAACTGACCCTCCTCATTTTAAGTTCCTTATACGAAAATCATGCACTGTTATTCAGGCAGAAAGATTTGCACATGGAAGTAGAGGGATTTTGCACCACATGTTCAGATCAATTGCCTGTGTGGAGTCCTTGCACAATCAGGATTTGATTTTGAGCCTAGCTTCCCTACAAAAGCCCTGCAACCTGTTTCCTGTAAGAACAATATGGCAACAGCAACAACAGTTTCATGGGCATGTGCAAATTGCTGTTTCCCTCACCACTGAGCATCCAGACATATCTGGAAATAAGGGTAGGGCCAGGCTAGGCTTTGAGTCCTCGCATCTCCAGCTTCAAAAAAGAATCATGGGATTCAACATGAATTACTGTCATTACATGTCAGCAGACTGCCACTGGAACAGGGGAGGGAGGCAGGGGGCCCGTTGGGATACGGAGAGCCTCCAAAACTCCTGAGGAGCAGTTCCTCTTCCAGCGGTGGTAAAAGCCACACCTCCAGTGGGGGAAGAGAGGGTGTGCTGGTCCCGTGGGTTACCCGAGAGGCGAGGTCCAAGTCCGGTCCATGGTCAAAGATGCAACGGGGAGGCAGTCCGTAGTAGCTGAAGCTGGGTGCTGGGCAGGGAGTCGGGTGAAGTCAGGAACAGGCATGCAAGCAGGGAGCCAGGGCGGGTCAGGAGCTCTGTCCAAAAAGCAGGACAGGGTTCAGGCAGGAACTAGCAACCAACAATGTTGCTCCCGCAACTTGGGACTGGGGCGGGCTGGCTGGCTTTTATCTGCCCTGAGGCATAGGGCAGCCCCGATCCTCTGGTGACTCGCCTCTCCTGGCCTGGAGGCGAGCACTCCTCCTGCGGGAACTTAGTTCCCTCCGCCTCTCTGCAGCTCAGGAGCGGCTGGAGGGTTACCGGACCCAGAGGCAACCTCAGCTTCCTCTGACGGGGCTGAGAGTGGAGCACCTGCAGGCAATGGGTCCTCCATCACCTCAGGAGCCAGAACAGACTCAGCTGGTGCCTGCACCTGAGGATCCAGCACAGGTGAGGACCCTTCAGGCTCATGCCCCAGCCCCGGCTCAGCTGGTTCTGGAGGCGGAGAATCCTGTGCAGGCTGGGATCCCTCAGGTTCAGCGTCCGAGTCTGAATCCCAGGCCATCACAGAGGGAAGGGGCCAGCCAAGTGAGGAAAGGGCTCGAGGATGCTGCTGAGAGCCCCAGCGCCTCACCTAGCCAGGCTGGCCAGGAGGGACGCACGCCACTTCTGTTGCCCAGCTTGCGCAGAGGGGTGAAACGCAAGGAGGGGAGGAGGAGGCTTGGGGTGCCAAAGTTCTTGTGTTGGGGGAGAAACCAGAGGGGGCCACGCCCGGATTCTGCAAGTGACTAAGACAGACATGAACTTTGTGGATCTGCACTATAAATAGTTTGCACAAATAAAACCTGTAAAAGACAGGTCGGAGTCCTGCCTGGTTACTCACGAGCAACCACCACTCGCATCTGACATTACAGTTCTGTGCAAATGTGAAACTGAGACTGACTCTTTGCTTGGTGTCTTGCAGGTGCCTGTAAAACACTCGACCATGGCATCTTCCAATGACTCCACAGTGTCGTCCAATTACACCACTTACAGCCTGTTCAACAAATTTGTCCACCTCGATGGAGAACTGTCGGACACGTTTTATACCCTGTGGATAGTGCTGGTGGTGATCAATGCCATCATTTTCCTGGTGGGCGTGGTGTTGAACTCTCTGGCCCTCTACGTCTTTTGCTTCCGCACCAAGACGAAAACCACCTCGGTCATCTACACCATCAACCTGATCATCACCGACTTGCTGGTGGGCTTCTCTTTGCCCATCCGGATCATCATGCACTATAGCGCCAGGAACTGCCAGAGGTGTGCCCTCGTCCACATCTTCACCTACTTCGTCAACATGTATTGCAGCATCCTCTTCCTCACCTGCATCTGCATCGATCGGTACCTGGCCATTGTCCAGGTGGAAGCCTCCCGCCGATGGAGGAACCCCAACTACGCCAAAGGCATCTGCATTTTCATCTGGGTCTTTGCCACCGTGGTCACCTTCTCAATCCTCACCATGGCCATGCAGTTCTCAGAGTGCTGCATCGCCCAGATCCTGCCCCTCATGGTCTGCGAGTACCTGTTCCCCCTTGTCATCATCACTTTCTTCACCACCAGGATCATGTGCGCCCTCTCCAAGCCGACGCTCATGCACCAGAGTCGCGAGCGGCGGATGAGGGCAGTGCAGCTCCTCATCACGGTCCTCATCATCTTCATGATCTGCTTCACTCCCTTCCACGTGCGCCAGCTGGCCATCTCCATCAACCCAGCCATGCCCAATGACATCAGCTTGATCGTCTACCACGTGACCGTCACCTTGAGCAGCCTCAACAGCTGCATGGACCCCATCGTCTACTGCTTTGTCACCAACAACTTCCAGTCAACCATGAAGAACATCTTCAGGAAGTCTGAGCCGGAGCAGACCAGTGGAGACATCATCAGCGTAAACAAGGGCTCGGGCTCGAATGCCATTATGGCCTTCTCAAATGCTGTAGGGACCCCACTGGCCCTGCCCTCACCAAATAGTACAGCGAGCTCCTAAAGGCTGGTGCGTCCCCATGTACATTGTTGTAAATGTCAGGATATGCGACACTATTCTCTTTCCTAAGAGTAATTTAGAACATCACGTTGACCTTCAAATATGAAGCAACACTCCTTGGGTTCTCCAGTGGCACCAACAATGGCAGGCTGGCTTTCTCTTGTGGGAATGATATGGCGAGGTCTCCACTTCATTGCCAGTTCCTGGGTTTGCACCCCAGGACGGAGTCTGCATCCCGACTTTGCAGCACCAGCTCCCTCAAGCTGGGAACCACAGAGCAAAGGACAGTCGCAGCTACATATTTTGGCAGGTCTGTCCACTTCTCCACAATCACTTGGAGAGAACTTGAAACATAGAAGGGCGTTTTGTTTTGTTGTTCAGATGCCACTCCTATAGACAGTTTCAACTACGACAGAAGGAAATGTTAGCAATGGGTGCTTCCAGACTATTGCTATGTTCAAGTGGAAGTCAGCCATGGACCGGCAAATTTCAGCTGATTTGGCCTTCTTATGCAGCAAATCCACTTTTCACTCCAAAATCGTTAATTTTCTGCAATAAGGAGATTGATGGGGAAAGGCAGTGGAGAGTGTGAGATAACAACTGTTTTATGCAACGTTTGTACAATCGCCTCACAAACAAATCAGAATGGATGCTCAATAAACAGTCACTATGGTCTCACCACTCGACAAACTTTGCACAAATAAATCAGAATGGATGCTGTCTGGAAGCAACCAATGACTTAGAACTTTGAAGGATAATAATAAAGGAGATGAACAATTTTGAGAAATTGGTGGTGGTATTATTATTATTTTTAATGTATATCCCAACTGAATGCAAAAAGTCAAGAGAGCAATAAACAAGAGATTTATAAGCACAATTAACTATGAGACTTGTTTCTCAGGAATATTATTATTTCTGGAAAAAGTCACCCAAGATAGCTGTGGGCAAACTGTGTTTTTCAGGCACTCAGATGTAAGAAAGACCCCAGTGGACTATTTTGGGGATAAAAAGTAAAACCAGAATATTTCCGCAAAGAAATGAGGGAGGGAGGGAGAATTCTTAACCTCTTCTCTGCCTGCTGATTTTTTTGCTGCAGTTTCCCTTCTTATCTGATTTCCATCCCTGCAGGGCTTGTGTCAACTTGTAGGGAATCAGTTGGGGGTAGTTAGGGAAGGTAAAGGTGGTGGTGCTGTGGTCTAAACCACTGAGCCTCTAGGGCTTGCCAATTAGAAGGTCGGTGGTTTCAATCCCCATGACGGTATGAGCTCCCATTGCTCTGTCCCAGCTGCTGCCAACCTAGCTTTTCGAAAGCACACCAGTGCAAGTAGATAAATAGGTACCACTGTGGCATGAAGGTAAACGGCATTTCCGTGCACTCTGGTTTCCATCACGGTGTTCTGTTGCACCAGAAGCGGTTTAGTCCTGCTGGCCACATGACCTGGATAGCTTTCTTGGCCTGAAAGCGAGATAAGCACCTCAACCAAATTCAAAGGCAGCCAATCAGCGATCAGGCAGCGGTGAAGGGATGATATCACTGCATGACATAGACAATTAGATTTGGCTTCATGAGGACATCACTGAGAACAAAGGAGGGAAACTGGGGGATAGAACAAGAAGGGCAACGTAACTTGAACTGGTACATGCTTTTGCAGACACTATTCGAACTAAATTTTAAGTTCTCCTTTGGGTCATCCACTGCCATCTAAGATTTGCCAGACCGCACCTGTCCAAGGACCACTGTGGGGGTGGGCTTTGCCACAAAAAAGAGAGCATCTGCTGGCTGCCTCCATCCCTCACCTCCTCCCCCCAAATGCCCATCAAAATAGGGCATAATGGAAAATCTAAAATGTCAATGGCTAGCCCAGTGGAGCACTGGAGACCTCCAGTGGCTTTGCTCATGCTTTAAAAGATCATGCTTTTTTTAAAAAAAAAATTGAACAAAGAAAGCTGGTTTGCCCCTGCTGTCATGACCAGCTTCCCATGCCCAATTCAGTTGACAATCAAAGTTGGCAGTCTTAAAATTGAATGATGGGAGGAAGGCTTCGCCCCACGCTCTTCCCAGGTTCTTGAATAAGTCCAACCATTGAGATTGGAAGAGGAGTGGAGGGCTGTCCATCATCCATCAGGACATTCAGCAGAGGGAGCACAGAGGTAAATATTTGCCATGGGTGTTTAGATTACGCTCCATTAATAGCAGGAAATTAAACAACTGGCAGCCTCCATGGACCTCCTGCTTTCTTCACTGTCCTGACAATCTAAGGCCATCGTGGCAGCAAGCCAATGGAAAACATTGGAGAGGAAAAGCCACCAAACGGAGAGGATTTTGCTTCTGTCAAATCAGGCATCAGGGCCAAGAGTTGCCCTCTTAGTTTCCAAGAGGGGTTCTGTGTCTCTAAACAGTTATCATGCCAGGCAAAATGACACCGATTTCCCCACCCAGTCAAAAAAAATAGCAGAAGCTGCACCTGTTGAGCTTCCACCCATCAGGCAGCCATTAAGAGCTAGAACCTCTGAGAAGGGGAGTAATTGCACCTAAACCTTCTCATTCCTAAGCAGCAGACTGAGCGGATGGGTTACGTTGAATGTGGGGGAAATGGCAGCATTTTGATTCATGCTTCAAGGTGCTCTGGCCTCAGTCAAGTGAACTTTGCTCCACCGCGGCCTTTTCACAGCAACGGCTCTGAGCATCTGTTGGCATGAGTTATGTCCTGTTTAGCAGGTGGTGGCAGTTTGTGCCTGCTACACAAACCAAGTTCTCGGTTGCCTGACCCCTTTTGACCTACTACTATATACAGCGGAGCTCATGCAATCCCCTCCAGGAGCCCATCTTCCCTCTCTTTCAAACACTGGGCGGCAGAAACTAATCCGTTGCCTTGCAATTTCAGCCAGTGGTTGCACCTCAACTACGTGCCTTGCCTCTATGGCACCGTTGTTCTTTTTGAGTCATTTAGTCGTGTCCGACTTGGCACTAGAAATGCTATGTATCTGGGAATCATATATATCAGAGCTGATGAACCAGCATGTACACACGTCGCACAATCCAGTTTTCCCAGCCGACATTCATTCATTCTCTACCGGTCTAGATTAATGAATCTGAAACGCATGCTATCGTCTAGTAACATACCCAGAGCCATCTTTCCTATTGGGCTTACTGGCGAGATGTGCCAGGGCGCGGCCTCTCAGGGGCGCCCCAGCGAGTGGGGGAGCTGCGTGGCTTTGCAGGAGGCCTCCCCTTTCCTTCCTGCATGCCCGCCAGTTGTGCCTTGTCAACCATATGGCTGGCGGGCGTGCAGCTTGCCTCCCAAGCCTCCGCAGGAGAAGAGCGATCCCTGCAGAGACTTAGGATGGAAGCTGTGCCTTGCCAACTATATGGCTGGCAGGCGTGCAGCTTCCTTCCCAAGCCTCCGTGGGAGGAGAGCGATCCCCGCAGAGGCTTGGGAAAAGGTTGACAACTCTGGGAAACGGGGGGGGGGGGGGTACCCCAGAGGGGTCTTTGAACCACGGCGCCATATATGCTTAAGACGGCCCTGAACATACCAATGCGGATTCAAAGTCTTCGCTCTGTCTGTAGGCACACTTTGATCGATTAAGGAATACCCATGCTTTTTACTATTTGGGAAAACAGCTGAGCTCAGAAGTCGAGCTATGGCAGGGTCCCAGGTTTGATCGTTGGCATCACCAGTTGAACACGGATCAGAGAGCTGGTCACTGCCAATCTGAGCTGAACAATACTGGACTAGGTGGACAAAAGGTAAGACATGGTAGGAGCAGTAGGAGAGCCCAGGTCCCATCTAGTCCAATGCCCTGTTTTCACAGCCTCAGGTGCCCCAAGGAGAAGCCCAAACACAGGAGCTAAGCATAATAATAATAATAATAATAATAATAATAATAATAATATATTATTTATACCCTGCGCATCTGGCTTGGTTTCACCAGCCACTCTGGGCAGCTCCCAAAAGAATATTGAAAACATGATAAAAGATCAAAACTTCCCTAAAAACTTCCCTAAACAGGGCTGCCTTCAGATGTCTTCTAAAAGTCAGATAGTTGTTTATTTCCTTGACATCTGATGGGAGGACGTTCCACAGGGCAGGCGCCACCACTGAGAAGGCCCTCTGCCTGGTTCCCTATAACCTCACTTCTCGCAATGAGGGAACCACCAGAAGGCCCTCAGAGCTGGACCTCAGTGTCCGGGCTGAACAATGGGGGAGGAGACGCTCCTTCAGGTATACTGGGCCGAGGCCGTTTAGGGCTTGAAAGGTCAGCACCAACACTTTGAATTGTGCTCGGAAACGTACTGGGAGCCAATATAGGTCTTTCAGGACCAGTGTTAAGTGATCTCAGCAGCCGCTCCCAGTCACCTGTCTAGCTGCCACATTCTGGATTAGTTGCAGTTTCTGGGTCACCTTCAAAGGTAGCCCCTCGTAGAGCACATTGCAGTAGTCCAAGCAGGAGATAACTAGAGCATGCACCACTCTGGCAAGACACTCTGTGGGCAGGTAGGGTCTCAGATGGAGCTGATAAACATCTGCCCTGGACACAGAATTAACCTATGCCTCCATGGACAGCTGTGAGTCCAAAATGACTCCCAGGCTGCACACCTGGTCCCTCAGGGGCACAGTTACCCGAGGACCAGGGAGTCCTCCTCACCTGACCGCCCCCTGTCCCCCCAAAACAGTACTTCTGTCTTGTCAGGATTCAACCTCAATCTGTTAACCACAAATGCAGTATAAGCACAGAAAATTGGAAAACACTGGCCTGCGAGTGCTCCAAATGGAGAACAGCCTTACCAAAGGTGTCATGGACTTTGAAGACACACAAACTCAGGACAAAAGGGAGAAACGTGCTAAGAGGAAGGCACGCTTGGCAAACCCTCACCAGGATCAACTCCTGCCCGGAAACCTATCTCCCCACTGTGGAAGGATGTGTGGATCCAGAATTGGCCTCCACAGTCACTTATGGACTCACTGTTAAAACCATGTTTATGGCATAGCTGTCAAGCGTCCCTTATTTGGCGGGACAGTCCCTTATTCCAGCGCCATGTCCCGCTGCTGTCCCTTATTGATGATGTCTCTTAAATAAGCTACTGAAGGTAATGGGGCCCTTTCTATGTCCAGCTTGCTTTGTCAACAACAAATTGTTGCTGTTTTTTTTGTGTTGAATATATGCTATATGGTAATTTATGGACCTAATAGGTATCTAAAGCCATTTGCACGCAACAAAATATGTATTTTATAAAAGTAATTGTTGATCCCTTATTTTGGCTGCTGATCCCTTATTTTCGAGGCTGCTGGTCCCTTATTTTCAAATCAGTAAGTTGACAGCTATGGTTTATGGAAGACAATCTTACTCAGCTACGAGTGATTGCCAAAGAAGAAGATCGTAGTCTGATTAGATGCTAGAAGTGGGTAGGGAGCTGAACACCGCTGTTCCCGTTGCAGGTTTTCATAGCCTTAAATGTCCAGGCAGATTGTGCTCTAGCAGGTATGAGCAGTGGAAATGGTGAAGAATGTACACTGCTGCCCTCTGCTGGGAAGAATTGCAAACTCTTTTCCTTGTCACGAACTGACTTGGCTAACATGGGAAGGTGGCCAACAGTATTGTCTCCTCTTACTGACAGAGGATATGTATGTATGACATATGTGTATAATAAACACACACACTCAAATGTGTGCTCAAATCTGTCAATTTTGGTTTCTCTCTGTTCCTTATTATTCCTCAGTTCTCAGCATCAGTTAGCAATCTTTTTTTAAAAAAAGTCCACAAGACAAAAACAAAACATGATGGTGTTGCAAAGTTCTCCCAATATACACATTTTTGTATGCCTGATTCACAACTTTCTGCAAAGCAA